CAACCCGAAAAGACCAACAAGTGGGCGGGCAAAATGCTAATGTTTCATGTTGAGGTCAACATGAAACGGCTTGGGATTCGTTTTAAAAACGACTCGTTTCTTCAAAACTGAATACTTTTTTGCAAAACAGTTGGTTGAGTTGATTCAGAGCTTCCAAAAATGTTGTATTATCTATACTCTTTGGTTCTCTTTAGAATGAAAAAAAGTGCATTTACAATCAGCATTTCTACGTGGATTCTTTTTTTTTTTTACATCATAATGCATCATGGGATTGTACTCCCTGCAAATGATACACAACGTTCATTATTATATTGCAAGACTTCTGGAACATGATGGAAGCATGAATATGATGCTTACAATGCGGTCCAAGAAAGGCAGCTCACTGATTTGGAACAAATTTTGAACTGGAATTGACCACTTTTAGCTTTAGATTTAGCTTCCTCTCAGTTGGAAGGTTATATGGAAACTTGGCTGCATTTCATATGAATATTAAATGTGAATAGAGCCAAATATAACACTCAACACCTACTCTAGACTGTACACCTCAAACTAAACTGCCCATTTATGAAAAAAAAAAAAAAAAAGATTTAAAATGTGTGCAAATAAAACCTTTAAAATGCCGTAAAAAAAAAAAAAAAAAAAAAAAGATTTAAAATGTGTGCTAATAAAACCTTTAAAATGCCCTTTATTTTTCCAGAATTCTTCAAGCAAATGTTCATGTATACAGTTCATTGAGGATATAAAACATTAACGTCCCAATACAACCGGTCACAGTCTCAGGATACTAATTTCAGTTAAACTCACACCTAGAGGAAATCAATCATGCCCATGTTTGCACAGATCACTGAAAAAGGAAGCTAGCAGTAACAGGCCGAAATTCCAAACAGGCAAAGTCAGAGGAAAGCCTGACCAATCAGCAGGCAGACGGACGGATTCCACAGCAGACTCCTGTTAGGAGCCTGGCTGGCGTAGAGACAGAAACAAAGTGCCGAGGAATGTTCTTGAGCGCTCGCCCTGTTTCAGATGCTCATGGTCTGCATATTCAACACTGACGGCTTCGGTTTTAAATTAACCCTGCAGTTCAGCCACTCATTCACATGTTATGTTCGCAGGACTTTTTTTTTTTTTTGCTGGTGTTAAATTCTTGTTGGCGGCACCTCGGAGCAGATTGGTACAGCTTTCTTCTTTGAGGTTTTCCCTCTGAATACACATTGCCATGTAAGGAAGTTTAAACACTCCGAACAAAGGAAACTTGAGGAGCTGAGAGTTGGAATTGAGGGAGAAAGAGACCGAACAGGAACTGGGAAGAAAGATAAACTGAAAATTGGCGCAATTAACCAGCCCCTGAAGCAAGTGTGATTTAGGACATAGGCTACGCTTCACTTTGGATACAGTTCCGTTGTATTCAAAGTAATTGTCATTTTTGGACAAATTCCTTTTTCATTTCTTTAACTGGTCCAGATGCTTAAAAAAGAGACTAGAACAACACACTGCACACTCTGTGTCATTAGTTTACCATCCAAAAGCAGAAAAAATAAATCTGATTATGAGGCAAAAATAGCAGATAAACAATGTATAGAGTCATGAAGGAACCAATTCCTTAACGCTCTCTAAACCTGCAGTCGATCCATAAGGCTCAGCGCAAAGAATGGTGAAATTCAAGCCCTTCTTTCTAGATTTTATCTCATGTCTTTAGGGAGACAGAGGGAGGTCTAAAAGTGCCAAAGAAGGAATCATGCCATGTCAACATGTCTAAAGGTCACAGAGCCAAAGATCATGGGGGACCACAGGGGTTACAGAGTTTAAAGTCAACATGAAACCGCATTCTCAACCCATTTTGCTTCCAAATGTGACAAATGTCCGGTAAAACAAGAGAAACAGACTTTTGACTATCAACAAAGTCTGGTACAATTTCCAGGTTATTGTGTACAAAAATGGACTATTTAGACAAGAAAGACACTGTCACTGGCTGACATTAAAAGTGACCAAAGACAGCTTGCTATGTTTTTACATGTTGGTTAAAGGGGAGTTTATCCAAAATTGATGATATACTGTATATATATATATAAATAAATAAAAAATATGGTGCCCTTTGTGAAAAGAAGTACACTTTTGGATATAGATTGGGACATTTTTTCCCCATCTCAGTGGCAAAAATAGTCCCAATTTACCTGAATTCACCCTACTCTAAAATAAAATACTTAAATGTGAACAAATGCATGTCATTTGGAATTAAATAAAAAATATAGTTTACATTATATGCAACTTAATTTATATCATAACTTCTGTTGTCTTTGAAATACATTTAAAGTTGCTGTTGAATGTACTGACAAGCATTTATGGTAAACTAAAATCCACTTTAATGTCATTTCTATTAAAAGTATGTCATATTTAAATCTATAATTACACATTTATAATCATACATTACAGTTAAATTTAATATATACAGTTAAAATTAGTTAGGTACTTTACATGTGCTCTAGTATGTTAGTCAACACATCAAAATAAGTGTACTTTAGAGCACGATAAAAGATTATTAAAACAATGGATTTAAAATATACTCTAAAGTAAAACTTTTAATCTGACATTAAGTATATTTAAATGTGTTCAGAAGCATAGTCATGAAAGTGTATCTCTTAAGTACACTTAAGTGGGCTTTTATTTCATTAATATTGACTGCATTAATATTGGTAGAGTTTTTAATACACTTGTTAGATTTGAAATACATTACAAGTGTGCATTCAATATGATTAAGTGGACTTCTTTTTCTCAACAAGTGGCATTAACTGAAGTTTTATAGAAAATGAAGGATATTTCATTTTTGAGTGAAATTTATTTGTGTTTCATGTTACCACATGAAAACATCCAGGCAAGAGGCAGGGCAAATCTGCTGGAGATGATCCATCTTCCAGCTCTCATCCAAAGTCACACATCTATTGGAGATCTGCCCCACGAGTAACAAACACAGTCCAGGAGTTTATTTCTTCCCTAGAAACCAATCAACACATACGTCTCAACCTTGCCCCTTGAGATCTTCCTTCCTGCAGAGTTCAGTTTCACCTCTAACCAAACACACCTAAACCAGTTAATCTAAAGGCATTAGTCCCAATCTGTGCATAATATGTAGTGCTTTAAAGATTAGTACATCCAGTGTCAGTGTTGCTCATCCATTTCAAAGTACTTATTTTACATCAAGTATGTACTTTTAATGTGCAGTAAAAGTATGCAAATTGGGTCTCCGTCAAGCTCCTGGGGTTCATTCCAAATTTATGGCCTGGTGTGTTTGATTAGAGCTGAAAATAAAACTCAGCAGGAACCAAGAACCAGGTTATGTAAATATGCTTTATAGCCTCAATAAATGAGTAATATATCATCAATATATTCCAAGCTTCTGCATGGAAGACATTCACTGTCGTGCAGTGGAAGCTATATGCTCTTCACTGGAAGTAAACCATTCACTGTGACTGCCTTACCATTATTTGATTTATTTCCCATGCTGGTCTACTGTTCTGCCCCCAAAATGTAAAGAACCGTAATTGTTCGCTTCTAAACAAACAGCCCCTTGTCATCTTTGGTGGGTGGGTCTCGGCCAGAATGAGCTGCAATGCAGACCAGATTTAATGCACTTAGTCTGAAGTCTGGCTATGGGAGATTAGACTAAATTCGGCCTGGCTCTATCCGTAATTTTATCACTCTCATGGTTATTTAGTCAGGCTAGTGGAGGCAGAAAAAGCAATGTTACATAACACTGTGTAATGGATAGCAGAGGGTCTCCTGCAGTACTGAATGGACAGGATTGGAGCAGAAGGTGTGACGCCAGTTCTAATATTTCTCGTGTGTAGAACTTAACAGCTATCAAAAGGAATATACACTCTTAAAAATAGGTTCTCTTAAAGGGGTCCTATTAGGCTTTTTCACTTTTTCAACTTTAGTTAGTCTGCAATGTTGCAGTTTGAGCATAAAAAAGATCTGCAAAGTTACAAAGTTCAAAGTCCAATTCAAAAGGAGGGTTGCAGCTACACCATAGAGGAACTGAGTTCTAAAAAAATCTTTCAGTGAACAATTCTTAAAAGAAACATGTTTTTCTAGGCGTGAAGAACATTTTAACAATCTAAAGAACGTTCTTCCACTATAAAGAACCTTTGGTAGAATGGAAAGGTTCGATGGATGTTAAAGGTTCTTAATGGAACCATAGATGTTTATAAAGAACCTTTATTTTTATAAGTGTATTAAAGGCAAGCTGGTGATGCCTTATGCCAGGTATACGCTACATGATTTTCAAAGCTGTCAGATCGCTGTTGCCAAAGTCGCTAAGGTTGGCACATTACATGCCAGATGGGTGACTGAGAGGGTCGTCACACATTATACACTATTTCACTACGAAGAATCCAGACAACTCGGTCTCATTTACAGAACGAGAAGTGATACAGGGAATGACATAAGATCACGCGTGAGTGGAATTCTGGTTCAAGACTGGAATTCCTCCAAAGGAAAAGAAGCAGCTCGCGCTCCAGGCTGTCCATATTCTGATTTACAGTGAAAAACAACAACAACAAAAAAAACAAGAATATAGAGGAAAGAATGGTTGGGGAGATCACTCTACCCCATGAAATTTCCTTTGCCCCGTTATCTTGCTCTATTATTGGCTGTAGGTCATCATTACTCATAACTGCAGCAATACAGGTGGTGCAAATAAAAGACACATGATGAATCAGAGTGGGCTGTCCATTAAAAATGGCCAATAATTTAAAATAGATAGTGCACATGATCATACACAAACACAAAACACCATCAAGCCACTTAAATAAAACCATCATGACACTAAAATAATCCAATAAATATAAAAATAATAATAATAACAGAAAACATAACATAGAACATCCTAATGTAATGATAACAAAAATAGAACAAAAAACACAAAACAAAAGAATTTATACAAAATACATATCCATTTCACCTTTACACGCTGTGAAACAAGTACATCATATCACTCATCTTACCTGGACAGGTGTTTCTTGCAGGGGGGTGACCTCAGGTTCAACTGCAGGCTGTTCCTCTACAACACCAACTTCCTCAATTACAGGCGCGACTGCAGCAGGCTCTTCCTTTTTTGGCTCAACAGCTATCTCCTCTTCAGCCTTTACCTCTGCCTCTTTGAGCAAAGAGAATGAAGCTCAGGAAAAAGCAAGGATACACATTGTGTTGCCAGTGTGGTAAAATATGAAAACCTAATTTTATATGTTATACGAGTTGGAAAAGGCTAGAGAATTGAGAAATAGAACAAGTTCCATACATAGTTGCATATTATGAAATAAATAGATAATTAATAATAATAATAGTAGTTAATTATTATTGTTATTAACCTGTAAAGTGAAACTGATTGGTTCCAGAAAGTAAATGGAACCAAAATCAAAAAAGAAGAATTTTCTGATACAAGAATATTCCAATATCAATCGGAATTTGGTCATATTCTGGTTATGTTATGTAAATGTACGAACGAGCCAAAACCAGATAAAGTAAATATTACCGTTTTTAAAATTCTGTCACATGCCAGAATTCTGGGTCGTTTAAACACCTTATTTACAATATCCATAAGCAAACATTCATTTAGACATACGCATAAACAAAGGTAAATGTGGGTGATATTAGAAACAGAAAAATGGGGAAAGTCAAGCTACTGATAAAATACATTATTGGAGCAAGGAGGACAAACTTTTTTTTGTATTACATGTATACAGGAATATTCCAGTATCTGTGGATTATGTAAATGTTTGCTTTCCAAAATAAAGCCATAACCAGAATATGGACTTTAATCAGAAAGTGATCTTGTCAAATTAGTGATTGTATTAAACTTAAAACGTATTGAAGATCATCAAGTAGTCCACCAGAGAGAGAAATAATAGTGTCACAACAATGGTGTGTTATGTCAGTTTTGTAATACTGGAACTATGAAGCTCGTTTTAGCACCTCCGTTTTTGTAAACGTAAATTCCTCAGGAGTATTCATTTAAGATCATGTGCTCACTAGTGTAACACACATCTGTGCTCAAGACTCCTTGAGCTCTCAACACCAACATGTTATACAATATACACTTTTAAATATATATGATATAGGTTTGAAACCATATATAGAAGGACCCTGGAGTTTGTCACGTCCAAAGCTCTGGGTTCTGCTGTGGTGAGCACATTCTAAGACAAGACCAAACGCGTTCTTCTCATATGAAAGGTCAAAAACCCTGCTCTCACCAGGATGATGTTTAAAAAAGGCTGAGCAAAGAAACATTCTGTACTCTACAACAATATGGCCGTCTCCACAGTGTTTTGAAAAGATCTTCAGTTGTGTAGCGTTTTTTTTTTTTCCCAAACAAGAATTGAAAATATACTGGTAAATGATCTCCTTCACTGGAGCAACCATGTTTCTACATTGAATGAATGTTAAAGTAACGAATAGCTATATGTTAAGTGATTACTTTGTTTATCAGCCCTGTTTCTGAACTCTATTCTAGAATTTATGGCCACAGGACAAGATTTGCATTACAGTCATCATGAATGACAATTACAAACAAACTGAAAAGTAAAACATACAATCTCATAACAATAATGAAAACTCTTGAAAGAACTCTTGAGACTCTCTTGTATTGCTGTGAACCGTTTGGTAATCAGCTGTGAACCCTTGATAAACCCTGGCCAACGTTCAAGTGCTGCCACTTCATCCTTAAACGAATTATACAGGCTGCCACAATTTAGAGTTGTGCGTACAAAAACCGCATATAAATACCGCGGTTTTTCATATATGCTCTTTTAAAACATGCAACGCTTATGGCACGAGACTTTTTTTTTTCCTTTTCAGACACGACGACACACAGCAGACCCGTGCTGAAAAAAATGTTTACAGAAATGTTTAATGGTTTCCACTACAAATACCATTACAAACCGTCAACTTTTAACAATTAAAACCGTTAAAAAATGGTTAGGATGTATTGGTTTTAACAAGCCACCAATAGGCGACCAGTAGAAACCCACAGTGTCCATTACAGTTTCCATTAAAACCAACACAAGTCTCATTATAACCAATAAAACCATAAAAATTTTGTAATGGTGTCTACTGTTTTTTTTTTCCAGCAGGGACACCACTTTGACATCAACAATTGAAAAAATATCGTGGAACGACTCTTAATGAAACGTTTACGCAAATGCGTCGAAAAACGCGCAACAAAATGGAACTGAACGGATCTGGATTGGAGACATTTTAAAAAGCTGAACTGTGTTGAATCTTGACAGACCGTCTTACAAACGCTGCACTCATGACGCGAGGCCAAAGACGCCGGTCCGACTCATGTGTGATGCGCACATAAACCTAATCAAAAATAGTGTAGAGGAAACGCAAGGTGCGCTGAATGGCCAGGACGCATCTTACCTGTACAGGTGTTTGTTGCACGGGGATGACTTCAGCTTCTACGACAGGAGCGACAGGAGCGGGTTCTTCCCTTTTCTTTTCAATAATCACCTCCTTCTGAACTGGAGCTGGAGCTGGTTGCTCTACTATGGGCTGGTGATACTCAGTAACCCGCTCGGATTTCTCATGCTGTTTCTGTTTCTGTTCTTTCTTTTGCGCAGGTTTCTTCGCCAGGAACGCCGATGCAACTATAATGGCAATAATCGTAAAGAAAAGTGCGGACAAAATAACGGGCGCGTCTATAGTCATGATTGCCTGCTGCTGTTGTCGTTACTGTGGCATGTAAGAGCGGACGCCTGTAAAACGCGGATTAGTGACCGCCTCGGCTCGTCCCGTTAGAACGCCTCTGAGCGAGCGATCTCATAAAGCCCATGTGCCAGAGACGCTTTCTGAAATGGCTGTGTCTTAAATCCTAGTCAGCTGCCTACATAGACAGCAATTCAGGGGCGCACTAGGACGCGCCTCCGAGTTCCAAAAGACGAACGATCCAGCGTTCTGAACGCTTACAATAAATAAAATGTATTTGTAACCAGTCACACCATTTCAACAAAATTATCTTAAATGATGAATAGCTCAAGTGCATGAATAGGCTAATAGATCAAATAAAATGAACGGGCATCACGTTCCAAACGCAACTATTGAGGATTCTAAAAATGCTGCTTCTTGCTGATACCCATAAATGCTAGTTAGGCAGGTTATTATTAGGTTTTGAGACACAACCAATGACTTTCAAAGCAGCGTCACTCCCTAAAGGACAGCCCACCTTATTAAAGGAGCAACACTGAGAGGCGCAAAAGAAGTTTCTTTCTTTGTTTTCTCGTATGCTTTGAAAAATAACATTTTATTGTGATGGACAGTATAGTATACGTCCCTACTGAACTTATACTAGCATATCTTTTAGAAATTTATAGAATTTTACCAGACTGCGTACAGTAAATTGTAATGTTGATGCAGTATGGTTATATTTGTAATGGATATCGCTGCTTATAGCCTATATCAGATCGCAATACATTTCGCATTCTCTTTAAAACTAACTTTAACCTTCTGATGCATGACTTAAAAACGTTTTTTCTTATAAACAGCAACACTATTCCCAATAAATGTCATTGTTCTTTAAACAAAGGCGTAGTTTACACGTTTTAAAATTGTGTGAAAGTAGGCTAGTTAAAATATCCTTGTGAAAGCTGCATAATTTAAAGGGGTCATATGATGCGATTTCAATTTTTCCTTTCTCTTTGGAGTGTTACACACCTCGCTTTTTCAGACGGATGAGCTTTGTAAAGATCGACACGTTTCAGAAAGGCGGTGCATAGAGGGGAAACAATGTACAGTATGTGGAAAATAATGTGTTTTTTTAACCTTAAATCGCATAAACATTTCATTACACCAAATACACAAAATAATGTTCTTTTTAGCAGCATCATATGACCCCTTTAATAAGTTGAGTTCAATTGAAGTTACTACAATTACACCAGTAACCTAAAACAAATTAAGAAATGTGTTTTTTTTAATAAAAGTCTTATTGTATTAAAAAATAGAATTTTACCTCTAGAAACTATCTGGGATAAGAGATATTCTGCTGGTATTTGGTGCGTGACTCCTTTGAATTGATCTCGTCATAAATAACCACAATGACGTATAAAGAGGAAATATGGCATGCAATGGTCAATAAAAATCAGCCATGGTGGTTTGAATGTACAGTCACACCCTGAACGGTTAAATATGCCCAGTGGACAACACGCAATATCAGGACAAAAACACTGATAACACAGAGATAAATACATAGAAACCTTTATTAAACAATTATCATTAATAATTTTGTTTGATCTGAGCAACATCAAAGTGTCACATAGCCGAGCCAGTGCTGAACATGGAACATGAGGAGCTGAAGTAAGAACATACCCTAGAGAAAACACTGAAGATCTGGAGGCTTCATCTAAGAGCACAGGCCATTCATTAAAACACTAACATTTGCAATTCAAAACCACAGCTCTGAGAAATGATATGAGAATGTGAAATATGAGCAACCTGAATGACCAACATCACGTAAAAATAGGCACTTTTTAACCACATCTTTCTCCTCGACTCGTACACAAAGAAAGCACTGACACAAACCCCTCAACAACACTCACTTCGATCATTAATCACCTCACACCATCACAACATATAGAGTACTGCAGCCCTGAAACATTTAGGTCATGACAGGTCGCCATTTTTGGAGTTACGCTATTTCCTTCAGTTAAAAAAAGAATTGAAAACATACAAAAACATTTTAAGACATTATAGGCTAGTCACGTTTTCCATTTTGAACAGGAAATGTGGATTTTCATGAATTATGATTGCAAGATTTTCCCCCTCTTTGCGTGGCTCATAGCGCACTGTATAATAAATAAGCGCCTCCTAGTGTTTCACTTACGCAGAGGGGTTATAAAAGAAAAACACCTCATATTTCAGTTAGTTGAGCTAAATTAACCATTGAATTCACTGCTAATAGACGAAAGAAGAGAAAAGTCGAGTTCAAACGTTTTTTTGGCGCATTCACAGTAGTTCCAACTTAAGAAAAGGTGCGTTCAAACTTTTGGCTCCACTACAATGTTATTTAGGCAATACAAAGCTTCGCACATGAGATACCGACAAAATATTTACCGTTTTCACAAATGTAGAATTCGTTCCCTAATTTTAGTAAATTGAGGCCAATTTTTTGTTCAAAATTGAAACAAGGGAACAAATTAGTACGAGGTCAGCCACAATTTACTAAAATGAGGGAACAAATTAGACAAGGCAAACAAGGCATATAAGTAATTCTTAATTCGTGCAAACGATAGAATATATGAAGAGTTTATTTGCAAAAACAGATAACTCCATTTCTGGATAACTCCATATATATATGTATGCATGTATGTATGTATGTATCACATGTAGTGTGGCGCTCCATAAAGGGCATCTAATTTAAAGTTTGAGACATTTTAAATCAAAATTCTTATCTAGAAGAGTGAGAAAAGGGACCAGAAATCACTGCCGTTTAACAGTTGTAAGTACTATGGGCTAGTTTAACCAAAAGACAAGAAACCCATGTTTAAGTGCAGCTCAAGAAGTAGAATCAGTAATAAAATAATCAATGTTCTAGAATCAAAGAGCTAAAGGCAGCATTACACATCAGGCCAACCATATTACCCTAGATGGGTCATGATACATCTCTCACAAATCTGCACATAACCCCTGTGAAATACAAAAACGGCATTGTTCTGAATCAAACGCAGATTAACGACGTTGGCACTGGGACAGGAGGAGACGTCAAGCTTCCTGTCCAGAGCCTGACATCAGCAAAGGCAACACAAGGAGGGTTTCCCTTCTCTTCTCACACACAGCTGTTGATGCATTCATGCAACGCTCCTCCAGCAAGCACATATTTGGATATTTTGTTCGTGTTTATCTCTAAAAGCGCACTAGGGCAGAGTTTGTTATCATGTGCCCAGACGTGACGCAGAGGCAACCTCTTATCTAACGGACAGGAGTCTCCTGAGGGCGACAGACAGAGAGAGCGTGACGTTTCATGGTCTAGGAGGCGAATATGGCTGCAGCCCCTCTGTTGTCGAGCGGGACGTCACCGAGACGAACTGCGCTCTTTGCTCACGCAGTCGTCCTGGCTTGTGATGTCACCGTTCCCCATCATGCCACAGATTCTCCTCTTCTTTCTGCGATGGGTCATGGCGTCGCCCTCAGAGCCCGAGTCAGCCTTCAGGGAAAAGGACAAATGTGAGAACGTAAGCATCTCATGTACATATGAAAATATCCTCATTGGGATTTAATGAATACAAATGAAAATGTTTAAATGTTCAAAAACATACCTTGGTTAGTTTTAACTAGATTCACAATCGGTGTTATTTCTTGAATTAAACAAATTTATGTGAATTTTGAAAGGCTCGTTTTGACTGAAATGAAGGTTCCTCTGATTTGTTTGTATAAAAATAAACCGATTAGATGCATATTACTGCAGGACAGGAAGGGATCAGGAATATACATAATAATCTCTTATACTCACCAAGGCTGAATTATTATTAAAAAAAATTTAAAAAACAAAATTGCAATATTGTGAAATAACCACAATTTAAAAAGCCGTTTTCTATTTGAATACATTTTAAAATGTAATTTATTCCTGTGACGCAAAGCTGCATTTTTCATTACTCTAGTCTTCAATGTCACATGATCCTTCAGAAATCAGTCTAATATGCTGGTTTGCAGATCAAGAAACATTTATGATTATTATCAATGCTGAAAACAGTTTAACGCATTCTTGAAGAACCAAACTATCAAAAAAATAAGTTACATTTTAATGACTCCTGTTTACATTCAGGCTGTTTAATATGCATTTAATTATTACCATTATATGTGTGTGTGTGTGTGTGTGTGTGTGTGTGTGTGTGTGTATAGACAGACCGAGACAGACAGACAGAGAAAGACAGACAGACAGACAGAGAGAGACAGACTGACAGACACAGACAGACATAGAGACTGACTGAAAGACAGACAGACAGACAAAGACAGACAGACAGACACAGACAAACTGACAGACAGAGACAGACAGAGAGACTGACTGAAAGACAGACAGACAGACAAAGACAGAAAGACAGAGACAAACTGAAAGACAGAGACAGACAGAGAGACTGACTGAAAGACAGACAGACAGAGAGAGACAGACAGACTGACTGAAAGACAGACAGACAGACTGACAGACAGACTGATAGACTGACAGAAAGACAGACTAACAGACAGATAGATAGATAGATAGATGTGTTATAGAAATATGTATAGAAAATACAGATATGACTACTTCATTAAAAGTTTTCTTTGAGGATTGTAAACCATTTCTGACATTTGAATACTAATTTAAATCAAATAGTAACAGTGCATAATACACTGTACTGTTCAATGTGAATTCCTTGCGCCCTCTAGCTTGTGTTAACTGTACTGCCCCTGTTTTCACCATCTGTTCACATAGTTAGTGAATGAGAGTGTTGAAAAGAAAAAGCTTAATTAAATTATCAACAGTTATTAGCTCTGTGGTCTAGGCCTAGTCACATGTAGAGCTTGGTCACATAGTGGGTCAGTCGGTGAGCAGGTGAATCAGATGGAGGTGTTCAGCAGCTCATGTCAGGACTCTAGTATAGGAGTTTGTGTGTGGGGTTCTGCAGGAACAAGCTGTACCTCTGAATCAGAGTCGGAGGAGCTGGAGGAGGAAGAGGATGACGAGTCACTGGAGCTGTCCGAGGCAATGCCTGTTGATTCCTGCAGGTCGACTTTATCTGCCAAAGCAGCAATATCAGGCCTCTCCTGTTTCAGGATCCTGAGACACACGTGACAAACTTCATCACGAACCCACTTAAATAATCAAAACAACTACCATTTCTCAAAATATACATTTCCACATATTTTCCCACTTACAGCTTGATTGGACATGGCGCACAATACTATTGTTTTGCTGTTGTGTTTTTTATACACCTTCACGTCTCATGTCTTCTAAAAATGTTCACATTTTTAATACACTAACTTTTGATAAACTTTGTTAGGGGTCAAATTGTTTGTTGTGGAACAAAGGAACAAGGCCCATTTGAAGAGCAGCAAAAATATAAACATCTTTAATAAAAAGTAACTTAAGTGAATGAAGAAATCAGTGTACAGAGCAGGGTCTTACCGGTACCACTTTCTGGAGAGTTTGGGGCGACCTCGCACAGTCTTGTGCCACACGATGGGGAAGTTAGTGGTGCTCGCAAAATTCTGGGTCACAGCAATAGCCATGTCCAGATTGAGGACAACATGCCACCATCCACCTACACAAAACATAGGTTTCAACCTCAATTACAATTACGGCTGCATGATTTGTTGCACAAGAATATATTATTTTAACAAAAATTGTGGATTTGAACTGCATTATCATCATTTTGCATCTCCACTGCGGCTTAGATATAATTAACATAAGCACTATAATTTTATTATATAGGCCTAACTTTTAAGATGTTCCTCAAAAACATTTACTGTGAACAATAAAGTCAAGTCTGTATCTGTCAGATGTTTTTTGCATTCATCTGAGTGATCGGTTTTCTTCAGATGGGATGATGGGTGACTGACCTAAGTGTGTTTTTTGTTATGAGTATAGGTCTTATGAGTAGAAGGCTTCTACACTTCACCTGCCTTCATACTAATACTTTCTGTTTTGACTGAACGGAGCACCTAAATTGCACTCAGATGGTTTCTTTGTAATGCCAACATCTATTTAAAGTCGATAAGCAAGACTAACAAAGCCTGAACAAGCGCCGTGGATTCCTTTCCAGTCTCATAAACACCATGTGGTATGAAGCTTGAATGCCATGTGGTTTAAAGTTATGTAGAGGCATTACTCAGCACTCATAAGACACTCAACATATTATTATTATAATTATATACGGGATAAATATTAGAACTGATAATCCACTTCAGCACAAAATAGTGGAACACGACTGACCTGTCAGTAAAACATTTTGAAACCAGTCCAACAAAACAGATGTGTGTTGTATGGAATGAAGAATGCTGAATGGAATAACACCGTTCCTATTTATGACTTCAGAAGTTGTGAAACGGAAAGTCAAATCGGTCTACTGCATTGTGGGATTCCACATGTGCTCAGGTTGCGTACACATTTTCACAAGTATAAAAATCAAGGATCAATGCCAGACGTAATCATTCTGCTTTGTGAAAAAGCCAAAATATGAGAACCTTGTCAATGGAAAGTAAATGTGTGTAAAATCAGCTCAGTGCAGTAACTGACCGGGCACAAACACAGTCTCTCCGGGATGCTGAAGGATCTCCAGCGGTCTGAACTCGGCTGGCCAGGTGAGCTGCTGTGTGCGGGGATAGATGACATTGAACCAGGTGATGGCCTCGTCCTGCTGGTTTCCCCCGTCATCTCGCGTCACCTTGATGAGCTCACGGGGTGTGTGGGTGGGGAACAGGCACCAGCGTTTGTGGCCCTGCACCAGGGCGTTCCACGCACTCGTGCCGAGCGGGTCAATGTGGATGCCTGTTCCAGAACGGGCAGGACCCATCACAATCCACCTACATGAACAGGACAAAAAATAGCCTTAATGAACTAAAAACACACATGAACTACAATTAGTGTCTGAAAGTTTTATAAAAATATTATAAACACTATAAAATCATTATAACACATTTATTATAACAAAAAACCTCTTAAAATGTAAGTTTTTTTCTTTTTCTAAAAAAAAGTAACTTAAAAAAATTACATTATATTGATTGTCCTCTTTGGGGGAATCAATCAAATCAACTTTATCTAATATTTATTATATTACATTATATTATTGTGAATTTCCTATTTGGGGGGAACCTTCAAATTTATATTATATTATTTTATATCATATATATAATACTTAATTTCAATAAAGTTTATTAAATTGTTACATATTTTTTCCCTTTTCAAAAAATATAAAATGTCATTTCTTTTTAACAAATGTAATTGAAACAAATGAAAAATAAACATTTTCTAATTTTCAACAAAAGTAATAACTAATATCCAGTGTTGGGCAGTAACTAGTTACAGTAATATTACCTTTTGCAGTAACTAGTGTAACTAATTACTAATAAGATTTCAGTAATAATATTACAGTTACTATCCATAAAACAGCTTGTTTCTTAGTTACTTTCGATGCCTCGACCCCGCTGATTTAAAGTCCAACAATCCAATAATTCCTAGATTTCTTTTTAGAATTTTCACGACTTGCAAAGACACATGAAGTCACCAGTGCAGCAGGCATATGGAATATGAAAAAGCTTACATTCAGTGGATGGAAATATTGGCATTATATTGATTTTGTCAGGAGAAAAGATGATCTGAACACTGATGTGTAAGTTGTGGCATTACTTTACTCTGACATCACATGGCCCACCCACCTCTGACCCCTATATAACTTGCTTAAAATCTTTTTAGAGAATGAAACATTTTCTTATGAACTTATGTGATTTCTTTTGATAAAATACAGCATGGAATATAATCGTATATGGGTATAACAGAAATTATAGCTACAATTAGCTTCAAGCTACACATGACAACAGTTTACTTAAACGTTACTATTAATCACCACTGAGTGTCGTGGTGTAATAACTTCTGACTACTATCCAATGTGGATTTTGGTCAAATTATGAGGCAGAAATATATTGTTGGTAACATTTTAGAAGAATTTAATGGGGAAGATATGCAACTTATGTGAGGCGTGAAATTAAAGTAATGTAACTAGTAGTGTAACTAATTACTGTTGCCAGAAAGTCACAAGTAATAATATTACTTTTGAAAGGAGTAACTAGTAATGAGTAATATATTACATTTTTTGGGTAACTAGCCCAACACTGATTATATCATACTATAAATTTAGCATTTTCATTCTGTTATATTATGCTAGGTAATAGTTTCATTTCTAATAATTCTTACAAAAAAAAAAAAAAAAAAAAAAGAAACTTACCTCTGTTTTTTTTTTTTTAAACCAAAGCTTGTTAAGCATCAATGTTTATTAAAATCAGCAAGGCTGAAACTGAGAAGTGATGGAAAGAAAGGAAGCGTTACCTGTACGGAGGACGGCGCTTCTCCCCCGCAAACTGAAAGAGGTCGTCCCTAAAGAAAACTGGCACCTGGTAGTCCTCCAAAAGCTTGCGGCGCTTAGCATGCTCGCCGAAACTGCTATCAAAAATGTAGAGGGGGCTGTCGTCATGGGTTGACTCCAAATACTCCACGTAGTACTTCATTTTCATCTTGACAGAGTAGCCATCATTGTCCTCGCCGCATTTGAACTTCTGGTTGCGGTATTTGCGCTTGAGTCGCTCCAAGGTCCACTTTTCCCGGGCTGGCCATGAGTCTTGGCAGTTCAGCAGAACGACGGGCTTATACGGTTTCTCAAAACGCTGAATGAACTCCTCTGGACTGAGTCGCTGGGTGTCCACTCGCTCCACGTTGTCCTGGACAAAGACAGGCAAGCCGTTTTTATTTTCTCTGAAGCTTCTTACAATCATCATTTCACATCAGCTTTACAGAAAGTCATACATAAACACCAGAGCACTTAAAACCAAAGTTGAAGGCCAGTGGATGATAATGGTTAACAGGACAAGGAACTCACAAGTTCCTGAATGTGATTGAATTTAACCTTCAGAATAAAAACCAAAGTCAATTCTTGTTTTTTTTACAGTAGATAAAGCCAAAAACTTTAGGAGACAATCAAAAGCATCATAAAAGTCAACTGCCGGGATTGCTGTCAATGGCGTTTGACCATGAAACCCCAACAACAACAACATCACTGTGTTGATAGGCTTTATTACTACTTGGTCAGTTTCTCAAAGCTATACAATACTTTGGAATATAGTTCATAAGTGGTACTTCATTTATGGTGTTTTTGTCTATTTTAGAGGTAGACAGTCACATGAACTACTGTTGCATGAAGACTCTGTTCTGGGTTTCTGAGCTAAAATGTACTGACAGTACAATAAAGTCCAAGGGCTCTAAGACGGATCTAGATCCCTTTTGGTTTAGGATTGGGAATGTAAGAAAAACTCCATAAACCTAAGGACCCCATGACACTAAAAGAGCAACAGCGCACTGTTCGCCTTAGACAGGGTCTCTAAAATGGCTCTGGTCTCGCTGGTCAGATTATTTTTAGCCACTCCATGAAGATTCTCCTGCGGCTGAGCTCTTCACAGACACAGGAACATTGTATGAAAACAGTGTCATTTTGCTTTGTGTGTTCCAAAACAGAAGAAATAACACTAAGAAATAACTTTGGGGCAGTTACTCTCAAAATGTTTGACTCCAAAGCACTTTGTTTTTGTTTTCAAACTCTTTTTTTTTTTATTTTTTTTACAGAAACTATGAGGGTCTATAGATAAAATATTAACAATTATTTTTACAATTAAAGGGGTCATATGATGCCTTTTTAAAGATTATTATTTTGTGTATTTTGTGTAACAGAATATGTTGACATGCTTTAACGTTAAAAAAACACATTATTTTTCAAATACTGTACATTACTGTAGGTCCTCTATGCCCCGCCTCTCTCAAACACATCTAAAGATTCCTAAATGCATCTACTTTCGGAAGGCCAAATAAAGTGCTTTTGCTTTCGCACTGAAACACAGCGTCTCCCTGACATGGCTGCTTCAACACTACTGCTGTTCCTGAAACCACGCCTTCTTTCTTTGCATGCACGTTTGGGCGGTATTATGCAAATATTTCCACATAGTGAGGTAGATATGTGGGGGCGTGTTAGAACGAGGTGTTTTAGGGGGGCGTGGCAGAGTCTTAACTTTGATAAAGAATATCTCTTTGGTTTTGAGACTTTAGTCTTTGCAACTTCAGGGATCTTATCTATACACAATCAGCTTGTAACACTCCAAAGAGAAAGGAAAACTTGAAATCGCATCATATGACCCCTTTAAGGATTCCAGAATTTTTAAGAGTCAAAAGTTCTTCAGGGTTTCCACTCTTTGTACCCAGTGAATTTACTTGACTTTTCCAGTCACTTGTTACTTACTTATATGTATACTCACACACATTTTACATTTAATCATTTAGCAGATGCTTTTATCCAAAGCAACTTAGAAGCAAACTAACAAAATGGCAACAAACAAATATATATATATATACATACATACACACACACACACACACACACACACACACACATATATATATATATATATATATTATAGCGCTGTGTGTACTATAGTGCTATATTATATATAATATAGTGCTGTGACAAGTCCCAGTTAGTCTAACGCAGTAGTTTTTTTTTTATAATAAATAAAAAGAAAAGTATATATAACAGAAATAAAATAGATAGAGCTAGTATTAGTGAGTCAAGTTTTTTTATAATAAATAAACAGAAAACAAACAGAATAGAAATATAATAGAGTGCTAGTTAGAGGGTCAAACTCCCAATTTCTTCTCCAAAAAAAAAAAAAAAAAAAGATTTTAAGCTCAGCTTAACTAGAAAAAAAATGACGCGTTAAGCTAACACTTTAGTATAGGGACCAATTCTCACTATTAACTAGTTGCTTATTAGAATGCCTATTATTAACATATTGGCTGTTTAAAGCACATATTCTGCATGACCATTCATAAGCGGCAAATTAGGAGTTTATTGAGGCAAAAATTGTAGTTAATAGTTTGTTAATAATAAGAATTGGACCTTAAAATAAAGAGTGAACAAATTATATTCTCGTTTCTTAATGCATAATTAATTGCTATTATAATAGTAAGTACATGTAACGTGTAACAAGGACACCTTAAAATAAAGTGTTACCAAAGTCATTTTTAGGCCCCTTGTAAGTTTGCTGAGGCCTCCTAGTTGGCCCCGGGCCCCTGATTCAGAACCACTGTTATGATATAATATACCATGGTACTTTGTGGTACTGTATACATTTTAGAAACCTCTAAATTCTTCTGAAAACACCTCAATATGACGTATAAAAAACAGTTTATCCTAAACATAAAATATGTTCATTACTGTTGGACTGCTCTAGCAACAATGAACTTTTAAAGTGCGTCGTTCTGCACGAGGAAGTGCGTACGTGCGCTGATGAACGTAGCCACCGGCTCCCGCCACCAAACCGCGATCCGACCACATGTGCATGTAACTTCAACAACAAACTACAAGACGCCAACGTGTAGCGTCCAGCTTTACCGGTAACGCCTGGGCTACGCGTTCCGCGGCGTAAACATCGTTACCTTCACTGTCCGGTGCGACACATCAAAGCTCTCGCAGTAATTGTGTTTGGTCCAGTCGCTCGAGTCCTTCAGCTCGGGTCTGGCGCTCCGCTTCGCCTCTTTGATCCGTTTCTTACTTTTATGGTTCATTCTTCAACGTTTCAGCGCGTCTTGCGTTTGGGTGACGCTTGTAGCTCGCGTGCTAACTGCAATGTATTGAAAGTCTATGGAGACTGAAGCGGCTAGCCAATCACTGGAGGCCTTGTAGAGGCGTGTGCAGCTCTTTTGCTGCCGACAGTAAAATCTACGCAATACAGGAAACAAGTTATATTTATTTCAGAGAGGGAGGCGGTTGATATACTGAAGGGTTCGATAATAAACTAAAGTTAGATAACCTGGTGGCAGCAAGCTTCTTTCACGCCTTATGGCGCAATCTAACATCATAGCTTATTTCCCGCCCCCAAGGGAGAATCCAAGAATCTGATTGGCTGGCTTTATGCATTTAACTGTCAGCTTGGAATCCGATTGGCTGTCGAGTGTACGAGTCGCTGTCCTGTCAGCAAACTGAGATCCAATAGAACTTCACAAGAGAAAGAGGCCGCCTTAACGTACTAGTGTGATTGGATGAATGGATTTAATGGCCGGAATTGTTCTGGAAAGCTGAAAATAAATGTGGTCCAAGTCAAGTACTGGGAGCAGGTAAAACACCAGTAAGAGACCATGAATGAATCTTCTCAAACGCTAGTAGAGAAATCATTCACGTTTGAGGACTGTGGAGGCTCTCAGTCCTTAACTGTGTCTATTCCTGAGGTACAGCAAAGTTTTTAATGCTTTATGTAATTTATTTGTTACTAATCTTGCAATAAACATTCTTATAATTCAGGTTCTTGATCCACAATATGGGATGTATGTTTGGCCCTGTGCGGTGGTACTGTCACAGTATGTGTGGATGGCAAGAAGTGAACTACAACACAAGACCGTTCTTGAGGTGACTACATCCCACTTACTGGTCACTTAGCTGATGCTTTGACTCACAATGTGGTCAATTCAAGTTCACATTCATGACTTTAAAGGGAGCCAATGCTGAAACATACACTTAGTTCCATATATATTTGGACATTGACAGTTTTCATAATTTCGGCTCTGTATGTATATGTACAGACTTTAAGCTTTAATTCAAAGGGTTGAACAAAAATATTACAAAATGCTTGGGAATTACAACCATTTTTATACACAGTCCTCCATTTTCAGGGGCTCAAATGTAATTGGACAAATAAATATAATCATAAATAAAATGTTCATTTTTAATATTTTGTTGAGAATCCTTTGCAGGCAATGGCTGCCTTAAGTCTGGAGCTCATGGACATCAGCAGTGACTGGGTTTCCTCTTTTGTGATGCTTTTCCAGGCCTTTACTGCAGCTGACTTCAGTTGTTGTTGTTTGTTTGTGGGTCTTTCTGCCTTTAGTTTTGTCTTCAGCGAGTGAAACACATGCTCAACTGGGTTGAGATTAGGAGATTGACTTGGCCATTGCAGAATAATCCACTTTTTAACTTCAGAAACTCCTGGGTTGCTTTTGCTGTATGTTTTGGGTCATCATTTATTTGTACTATGAAGCGCTGTCCAATCAACTTTGCTCCATTTGATTGAATCTGGGCAGAGAGTATATCTCTATACACTTCAGAATTCATCCGGCTGCTTCTGTCCTCGGTCACGACATCAATAAACACCAGTAACCCAGTGCCACTGGAAGCCATGCATGCTCGTGCCATCACACTGCTCCACATGTTTCAGATGATGTTGTATGCTTTGGATCATGAGTTGTTTCAAGCCTTCTCCATACACAAACACACACACACACACACACACACACACACACACACACACACACACTC